AATAAAAAACGTACCTTTTAAAATTTAAATGTTGGCAGGCCGAGGTGGCTCATGCCTGTAGTGACAGCACTTTGGGAGGACAAGAAGGATAGCTTGAAGCCAGGAGTTCAAGATCAGCCTGAACAGCAAAATGGCAAAACATTTTTTTAAAAATTAGCCAGGTATGGTGGCATGCACGTGTACTCCTTAATCATTCAGGAGGCTGAGGTGGGAGGATCACTTGAGTCTAGGAGTGCCAAGCTGCTATGAGCTATGATTGCCCCACTGCACTCCAGCCTGGACAACAGAGACCCTCTCTTTAAAAAGTTAAAAATAAATGTTACAGTTAAATTATATGTATATTTGAGGCATTGATCTCTGCATGAATTAACATCTCATTATGAATAGTGGCTTAAAGTTGAAAATATTTTGAATAAAAATTTTCTGAGCATATTAGTATCCATATGTAGTACTTAATATGGTAAGATTTAATAAAAGTTTGAGAATGGCTTAGTATTTCCTCAAACCAAACAAAACAATAAAAAACACAGCCAGGCTAGGTGGCTCATGCCTGTAATCCGAGTACTTTGGGAGGTGGAGGCTGGAGGATCACTTGAGCCCAGGAGTTTGAGAGCCATCTGGGTAGCATGGAGAAACCCCATCTACAAAAAATACAAAAATTAGCTGAGTGTGGTGGTATGAGCCTGTAGTTCCAGATACTCAGGAGGCTGAGGTAGGAGAATCACTGGAGCCTGGAAGTTTGAGGCTGCAGGGAGCAAAGATCGCACCACTGCACTCCAGCCTGGGTGACAGAGCCAGACCGTCTCTAAATAAATAAATAAATAAATAAATTTCAAAAACACAGTTTCTAATGTTTGAGCATTTCCTTAGCATTCAGTTTTTAAAGATCCTTACTTTTTTTCAGCGATATTGTGGTCAAACGAAATAACAGTCAAAGAGTAAATACATTTCTCGGAATTCTACATTTGAGTAGTATTCAACCCACGGTGAAGCAATTAAGAGTTCTTGGGTTAAGCAATTTCCATATCTTAGTTTTTCCAGAATGGATTTCCAAATCAGTGTTTCAAGGCTTTCTAAGTATGAATGTTAATACACATAAGTTTCTGGGTTTAGGGAAGAAAAATATGAGTTTTTCACTCTTCTCCCTCTTCCTCCACATTCTCTGCAATGGCTCAATTTACTCAGAAGAAATTTCATTTGCTATTTAAAGCTAAGTACACTGGATTTTTCACCATAAATGCCTACATGAAAAAGACAAAGCTCATGTGGTCATCAAAGTTGATTAAACGTTGGTGGTATTGCAGTTTTATTACAAGTGTAGTGGAAAAAATGTTTGTGGTATGTAGTTATGTACAATATTATTAGTGACTATGTTAAATACTTAAATTCTTTTTTTTTTTTTTTTTTTGAGATAGAGTTTCATTCCGCCGCCAGGCATCAGGCTGGAGTGCAGTGGTACAATCTTGGCTCACTGTAACCTCCGCCTCCTTGGTTCAAGCAATTCTCCTGCCTCAGCTTCCTGAGTAGGTGGGATTACAGGCACGCGCCACCATGCCCAGCTAATTTTTGTATTTTTAGTAGAGACGGGGTTTCACCATGTTGGCCAGGATGGTCTCGATATTCTGACCTTGTGATCTGCCCGCCTCGGCCTCCCAAAGTGCTGGGATTACAGGCGTGAGCCACACCGTACCCCACCAAATTCTTTTTTTTTGTTTGTTCGAGATGGAGTCTTGCTCTGTGGCCCAGTGTGGAGAGCAATGGCACAATCTTGCCTCACTGCAACCTCCACCTCATTGGTTCAAGCAATTCTCTGCCCCAGCCTCCCAAGTAGTTGAGCTTACAGGTGCCCACCACCACACCTGGCTAATTTTTGTATTTTTAGTAGAGACGGGGTTTCACCATCTTGGTCAGGCTGGTCTTGAACTCCTGACCTGATGATCCACCCGCCTCAGCCTCCCAAAGTGCTGGGATTATAGGCTTGAGCCACTGCACCTGGCCAGTTAAATTCTTAATAAAAGCAAATTGATACGGAGTTTGATTTTTTGAAGTTGGTTATAAGTAGGTGACTGGATTGAGCAAATAAAAATTCAGGATGCCCAATTCGAGTTTCAAATAAATAATAATGAGCATATCTCAAATATTTCATGGGATATACTTAAACATTCGTTATCTGAAATTCATACCAAATTGGCTATCTTCCATTTTATCCAACGACTCTAATTACAAGAATAGGAAGATATTTCAATCAGGCTTATAAAAAGCTGGCCAGACTAGTAGTAGGATATAAACAGACTAGGTGGTCCTACCGTTCTGTCATGGTTGGTCACTGAACAGTTAAGGAAGTTTCCAGCGAAGTCCCAGATTTGGGCTGGCATGTGACCAGATACTGGTCTATTTTTATGCTGAGGTAAATGGGACAATTTTTCCAGGGATTCAGTATAAATTGTAGAGAAGGGGGTATATGCTTAAGAGGGCAGAGGAAGGTTCGTATTGTACGCTGCCACCGTAAAGTCCACTTCAAACAAATCTCCCCTACCCCAGGCAAATAGGGTAGGTATAAATGATGGCCTATAACTGGAAGAAGTCAGACGGGGTTTTGAATGTGTGGACTGAGTATGCCAAGCAAAGGAACGGGGAGTAGGCAAACTGGCCTTGGAATGAGTGGATTCCACTGGAATGAAACAGGTCAAACTCAACATATCCAAACCGGAAAGCACGACCTTTCCCTCCAAACTCCTCCCCACTCCCTAAGTTCATTCAGGAATTTACCAAGTATTTAAGTCGCCACTAGTGCTAGCAAGTGCTGGCTCCAGACAGACACCCTTGAGCAGAACAGACATGGTCCCTGCTCTCAGAGAACTTAACAGCAGAGTGGGGGAGACCCATATCCTCACAAAAATAAATGATTAATTACACATTTTGACGTTGCTATGACAGAAGGATGTTTGGTGCTATACATCTTTAATAAAGCCGATGTGCTGCTGCTATTTTCAGGTGGCAATTATAATGAATAAACACAAAGGATTATTACAAGGCATCCTGAGAATAAAACATTTTAAAGGAAAGTACCACATAGTTTCCTATTTAGGGGAACAATACTCCATTAAAATTCACATTTTTGGAATTTAAAAATTTATTTTTTTTTTGCCTTTCCCCACAAGTTCTGATGGAATTTGGTTTCTGCTTAAGTAATGTTTACTAGAATATGTACTTTTATATGAAACACTTGCATATTTGTTATTAGTATGATTAATCTTATCGTCACTGAACAAAAAGTACAAGTAAATAATTTTGTTTGACGGGTAAACAAACCTCTTCCATGTTCAGCCCATCTTTTTTTAAAAAAATTATTACTATTATCTTTTCCAGATCAGAGATGTACAACCCATCTTTCAATGGTGATTCTACTCAACTGCTCCTGTGCCATCTCTGGTCAAGAGGGTGTAATTCCTGCTAACTTGAAAGAGCAAAACTGATAAGTGCCTATTTCAGTAGCGTATTACCACTTAATTACAGAGGATAGCTTCCAGGAAAAGTACCATAATACATCGAAAAGGGGACTTTTAACTGTATCTGGTAGAATTCCAAAGCACTTAACACTCTCTAGGGTCAACGCAGTGACTCCCATCTTACTGAAGTGCAGCTACTTCTGGCCTGGAGCGCAGCTGCTGGTCAACAGCTGTCCAACCTCAGCGTTCCCCACTCGGGACCTTCAAGAGGAGCTCACCGCACCCAGTAACATATATCGCTAGTTTCAAATCACGCTTCTTGTGTCTTGCAAATTTATCTGGAACGGAGAGAAGTACCTCGTGCTTCTCGGAACTTCATCAACTCGGTTTTGGCAATTTTCTTCCCACGTCTTTAATCCCTTTCTCCCTTTCTCTTTTCCCCACCTTGTACCACTCTATTATCTGCCAGACGGAAGAATTTAGCCTTTTTAAACTGAAGGACCGGAGGAAGGGAGAGTTAGAGAACTGGACTCGGGGAGGAGGGGCGGTGTTAAACATTTACAGTGAGAGGGGAAGGGGCGGGTGCGCGAACAAAACCCCCAGGCAACCTCCCTCCAAGAGTGCGGTCCTAACTCCCGGTTCCTCCGCCTCGGGCAGGGCTGGACGGCCTCAGGCAGAGGATAGCAGAGGGAGGAGGACCGAAGTCCTCGTCCGCACCTTCCCCCACCCCAGCTGCATTTCCCCCGAACTCGTCCGGGTGCTGGCCTCCAGGCGGCAGCCGGCCCCCGGATCCCCGCGGGAGGAGGGCGAGCTGAAACCCGGAGGCCACTCGGATTGTTTCGCGCTTTCAACTTCGCGGAGTACCGCGCGCTAGGGTGCAGCGGGGTCTCAGGCCGGCGCCACCCGGGTCCCCGCGCGGGAAGCGGCTCAACGAGGAAGGCAGCCGGCGCCCGCGGTCTCCCGGCCGGACGCCTGCGTTCTTCCGGCCAGCCCCCCATGGGGGGGGAGGGGCGCCGACGCCGCGTTCTCGGGGCCCCGCAGCCGGCGGAAGGGCCGCGCATCGCGGAAGCGCGGCGGCAGCTGAAGATCAGCTGCTGGAGGAGGCGGAGAGGGAGAGGGAGGAGCCTTAGGGGGAAGGAGAGGGAGGGGACCGTCAGGAAGCCGCGAACGCCGCCGAGTGTCTGCACACCTCGCTCTGCCTGCCATGGCTGGTTAAAGAACCATCCGGATCGCAGCGCGGGGGGAGGGTCGGGTGGGGGGAGCGGCGGCCGCGCGTGAGGCCGAGGGAGGGGCGGCGGCGCGAGCGGCGGCGGCGGCGGCGGTTCCAGCATGAAGAGGAGAGCTGGCCTGGGGGGCAGCATGAGGTCAGTGGTGGGCTTCTTGTCCCAGCGGGGCTTGCATGGGGACCCCCTGCTCACTCAGGACTTTCAGAGGAGACGCCTGCGAGGCTGCAGAAACCTCTACAAGAAGGACCTCCTCGGCCACTTCGGCTGTGTCAATGCCATTGAATTCTCCAACAATGGAGGCCAGTGGCTGGTCTCAGGTAAATCAACCCCCTTCCCCTCCCCGCGCCTCCCGGCCCCCTCCCAGCCTCCCCCTCTGGCCCTCCCCCGTCACCCTCCTCCTGCCCTCCGTCCCCACCCCCTCCCTTTCTCATCCCCCTTCTGCGGTGGGAAGGTTTGGTGTCAAATTAAAACCATTGCAGGGGGAGGGGAAGGAGAGGATGTCTTCTATAAAAAAAGACCTAAAATGGTTGACAGCTCCTTAATTCGCTTTATCCCAAGTGCAAAGTGATCTCTCCTGATGCCTGCCCTGAAAGTGTGGGTCGGGGAGGGGGGCGAGGTTACCGCTCGACAAAGTTTGACGACAAACTCTTCCTCCGCGTACTTTAAAAGGTGCTGGGGGCATTTTGGGGATGTGGAGGGGGAGGAGGCCGAGGCGCGCCTGAGGCAAGGGGAAGCTGGAGCCCCGGTCGCCGGTGTCAAGTAGAAGGGGTCTTGGGGCTGGGAAGCGGGCGGTGACACACTGGATGCCTAGGGGCCCGGGTCTGCGACCCGGGGGCTGGCGGGGTCCGCGGAAGGGAGGTGACTGGCGGTGGGGTCGCCGTGGGCCGCCCCCCTCGGTGCTCTTAGGGGCCCAGCACCATGGCCTTTCGTGATGTGGTGGCCTCCTCTTCGTCTTGTTTTTAATACGATTTCATGAGTGGCGAGGGCAGTGGAGGCTAAAGGACACCAGCCTGAACTTGAATACGCAACTTGCGAGGCAGGGGGTAGGTGGGCGACCCCGGGAGACTTGTTGGCGGGATCCCGGCGTCCCGCAGCCCGTTTCCCGCGGCCGCCGTTGCAAGTGGTCTCTGCTTGTCCTCCCTCTCGCCCAGACGGGCCTGGTTGCCCCCGGGCTCTCCCTCTGGTTTGGGGAAAGTGGCGAAATCGAGGCCGGGGCTCCGGCCGGGCAGTGTAGGCCTCGCTCTCCTGGGGCTCCTAGCGACAGGCAGCTGAATCGATAGCCTATTGCTCCCGGGGAGGCCTGGGCCCCAAGGACTGCGGGGGCCGCTGCCCCTGGGGAGGTGCGCTCGCTGCCGGTGGGGGCGCTCGCTGCCGTTATCCCCTCCTCCTCGGGGTCGCGGGCCCAGGGCTGGGGCGGGTGGGAATGGGCCTACGTGAGGCTAGGGGGCGGCTCCCCGAAACCTGGCTCTGGGGAGAGGGGTGAAGACGGCTGATTGGGCGTTCCTGCTTGCCTGCTGCCCTCTTCCGTCCCTTTTTCTATATTGGGAGGGATGAAGGGGGAGTCCAGCGCTGGACATGGCGCTTAGCTTCACCCAGGTCTGTCCCCGAATGGCTTTATAATTTGTGTCATTGGGCAGCTTGCCAGAAATTTCTGGGATCATGGCAAAGCATCCGCCTTCAGTAGTAACCGTCGGAAGTGACACGGGGCGTACAGCCCAATGGCGGGGGTAGCAAAGAGAAAGTCTTTGCGATCATTTTATGATAAACCCTCTGGGATCTGTTCAGAGCTGACTTGACTTTTTACCTCAGATCGTTTTCCTCTTTGACTAGGTGGATTTGGCCCTAGATCATCCTCTGAAGAAACCTGATCCTCTGGGCAAAAGCTTCCTTTCCCTACACCATCATATAAAATTTTGTCAAATAAATTTCAAGTGCAAAAATGGGGTCTTCTTTTTTAAAGACCTGGCTCCGAGTATTCTCCCTTACTGGTTTTCATGTATTCATAAAACTCTTGATGTATTCCAACAGAGAAGTTCCCAGACACAAGTAAATTTTACCTACTGAGTGAGGTAATTTGGGGGTACTTTTTGGGTGATAACTGAACTAATCATGTTAACAGAATTCTAAGTAGTCACCCATTGTCCAGCTTGACACACCTTTATTTATGCATTTATTTGAGACAGGGTCTCACTCTGTTTCTCAGACTGACGTGCAGTGGGCTATCACTGCTCACTGCAGCCTTGACCTCCCAGGCTTAAGCTAACCTCCCACCTCAGCCTCCAAAGTAGCTGGGACTACAGGCAGGTGCCATCATGCCTCGATAATTTTTAAGTTTTTTTTTTTTTTGTAGAGGTGGAGTCTCCCTATGTTGCCCAGGCTAGTCTTGAACTCTTGGCCTCAAGTGATCCTCCTGCCTCACCCCACAAAGTGCTGAGATTACAGGCATGAGCCACCATGCCCAGCCCACACTTTTTAAAAAATAACAAATTTATTGAGATAATTTACATGCCATATAATTTATCTATTTGAAATTACATTTTTAAAAGCACTGAAAAGTTCTCTTCACTCTAGTTTATAGAATCCTTGGGCAGGACTCTCCCCTATGTCTTAAATGAACCCTATTTTACCTAGGCTTGGCCGGGTCGTTTCCTTTATCTTTATTTTAGCTTGTAGAAGAGGAGGGTCCTTTCCATAGGGAAAACTCTGGCAGACCTTTCGATTCTGGGTATTTCTTTCCTTTTCTAGGCTTGTGTTGCCCATCTCCATCAGTACTTCCTGGGTTCCAGCCTTCTTTGTCCCTTGCTCCTCCTCCTTCCCCCCATACTCCCTCTAGCACAGTTCTTCCTGTTTCCTTTTTATCTGCTCCTGTTCCTGTTCTTAGCCTATCAGCAGACTTTTCCACAACTCCTCCAGTTTGGCTCAGATACACCTAGCTTTTCCTATTTGTTCCTCGAACATACAGTTTTGGTTTAAAGCCTTTTTAGCTGTTTACCTTCCATTATGAGTATACAGCTATGTTAACAGAAAGTTTCTCCTGTTTGCTTCAGATAAGGAAGCCCCGTTTGGGATTCTTAGTATACCTTAACTTGTTTAAGCTAATTAAATTTTGTTCTAGGAAGTCCTTCAATAATTTTCCCAAGTTTAAAACTAGTGTCATGTTTATATTTTTTCTTATCTATCTTTGTCTCTCTTTAGCAGTCAACACCTGAGGGGAGGTACAGTATTCTGAGGCTAATGCCATGTATCCTCAATGTTGTAATGTGGTGGGATGCCAGACTCTGGGATGATAATGAGATTACTTTTATGCATTTTGTTGTTCTTGTGTCTTGTCTGGATTGGAAAGCCCTTAGAGTGTTGTGATTAAAATGATAGATTGTTCATAGTTTGTTCATTGTTTTCATTTCGTAATTGTTTGGGCAGGCTCATATTTCTTGTAACTGACACATACCATTTGACAGAATTAACTTAGACCCAGGGCAGAAATAATATTTGCATGATTCCTGTGGCTGTGTAAAGTACTATTAGTTAATGATACATCACTTTTCTGTTCCAACAGCTATCCCCTTTTCCAGGGCACAGTGAGGCCAGCAGATATTGAGTAAACCAGAGAAAATCAGGAAGGAGAAAGGTGCTGTGCTTGGAAGTGAAATTATGACAGCAACAAGTGGAGAAATGGTTACTTGCACATGAAGATATTTTAACCTAAAAAGTACTTTATTTTTCTTGTTGATGATCAGAAAAGGGCATCGATATGATACCATTTTAGGCAATGTGGTATAGCGGATATGTGGCTAACGTCATTTCTGTGTCATTTGTTTAATATGTAACGTTAGTCAAGTTACTATGCCTCTGTGTTTTCTGAGGTATACAGTTGGAATATCGGCACCTACCTGAAGCACTTGTTGTGAGAACTATGTTAGTCAAAGCTTAGGTTGGGTGCTGAACAGAGTGCCAGGCCTCTCAGAGAAAATACCGAGTTTGTTTTCTTTCTCTTTTGTACTCATAACACATGGTGTCATTAATAGCAGACATTTGTTCTTATAGTATTGGTAATAGACCAGTGCAGATTGGCAGACAGGATAGTTTTGTGACTTTTTCACGTGGAATGTGGAAGCACAATGTGGTGTAGAAAGTGCTTGGGATTTGAAGGCAGGTCATTTGAGTTGGAGAATCCACCAGTTAAAGTGTATGAATTTAGGTTAGTCCCTTCACTACTCATCTGTAAAATGAGGGTAACAGTGTGCTCTCACTTGTAGTTAAATGGGGGTAGTGAATGGTCAGTGAAAGTAATATATGTGAAAGTGTTTTATGAACTTGGTTTTCAGTGAACGTTACTTTTTTTTTGTTTTTGAGATGGAGTCTTGTTCTGTTACCCACGCTGGAGTGTAGTGGTACGATCTTGGCTCACTGCAACCTCTGCCTCCCGGGTTCAAGCAATTCTCCTGCCTGAGCTTCTTGAGTAGCTAGGATACAGGTTCATGCCACCACGCCCAGCTAATTTTTGCATTTTTAGTAGAGACAGGTTTTCGCTGTTTTGGCCAGGCTGGTCTCAAACTCCTGACACCGTGATTCACCTGCCTTGACCTCCCAATGTGCTGAGATTACAGGCGTGACCCACGACACCCAGCTCGTGACATTACTTTTTATAAAGACTAGCTTTTTTGTTGTTGTTGTTTTGCAACCCCCTTGCCCCTCCCAAGACTAGCTTATACTTGATGATTGTAGTCTCTTCTTAGAATATTTGTGTGTGTTAGTCCTTTGAGGAATGAGGAACAACACTGTATGTTGAAGTGTCACTTACAAGAGATCCTAACAACATCAAGGAGGTAACAGAACTATACGTATTTAGGGGGATATCCTGGGTTTACCTTTCAGGTCTTTGATTGCATCTAGTACTTTAGATTGCTTTCATTGCCTCCTCTTATGCTTTTCCTTTTCCTTAAAATGGTGTCTTTTATATGTTTAAAGTTTTTTCTTTTTTCTTTTTTCTGGGAAGAAGATGAATTATCTTTAGGGATTTGACTGGAAGACCAATCAGAATGTATCTCTATGTGCATTTGACTTGGATTGTTATTCTGCCTTCTTATATCTTGTAAAAGGTTTGTGCAAATCATCTTAGCAGTAAACAAAACAAAAAGATTTGGCTCTTTGGAATGAGAGTGGCTATAATATTATTTCCCCTGAATTGAAGTTTAAGGCATTGGAACTTGGAGATCTAGCAGAATAACCCCTAAGTATGAAGTTTTGAGTTATAGTGAGAGATTATGATCTTTTTTGGGTTCTTATGACTAAATATAGCAAAACTACCTTCAGAAGTTTTTCAAATAGCATGAGCAACTCTGATGTTTCAAAGTATTAATTATGTAGAAGTTGTAAATGGAGAGAGGCATTTAGTTGCTTGGTCATAATATTTATAAATGGGGATAACTATTTAGTCTATTTCTAGTTCAGTTGGGTCTCTGACCATATTGATCATTATAAGGATTCATAGTGTATATATATACAGATTTTAGAGTATGAACTCTGAAGTCAGACTGCCTGGGGTGACTACCAACCCAGGTACTTGCTGCCTGGGTTGCCTTGGACAGGTCACTTACCCACTCTGTTTCCTCACCCATATAATAAGGATAATGATACTCTACAGGGTTGTGGTAAGGATTGAATAAAATAACATTTGTAAAGTTCTTAGCACAAGGGCCTAACCCAGGCTGTTGTTACTGCTGCTGCAATTGTTGTTGTTGTTTCCCTTGAATGTCACAAAAGGCTTTTAGGAGATTGATACCTTCAACATGTAACACATACTGTACATGGCACAGTACACCATGAAAAATTGAGAAAGATCTCCATGAGGTGAACTGTTCAAAATGCTTTGTGAATAAGCTTAACCAGTACAGTCATCAAAGGGTATTTTTAAGCATTGTATAATAGCCGTGATTATACCTCTATGCTTAATTTGAACTGATTAATTAATGGTCATTTCTTGTTTCCCAGTCACTAGTTTATATCACATTTTATGAAATCTGTGTTTTGTAAATAAATTAGTCTAAAAGCACATTATCTGCAGGTAAAGTGTTTGGCTTTAGCCAGTTAAATAAAGTCTGACTTTATTAAAGCTGATCATTTAATTAGAATGAATTTCTTGGTTCAATGGTTACTTATCAGGAGAAATATGGCCAGTGGTAGAGCAGGTTTCTGACTTTGAAAAGCTTTTATGGTGTAGACTTTTTAACAAGGTAATTGAGGAATCAATTTTCAAATTTTCTTCTGACCTTTCTATTTACTGATAATTCATTGCTGTGAAGGTATTAAATTTTATTATTTGGTCTATTTATTAGTTCAATAAATAGTTTTTGAGTCCATGCTATTTGTAAGACAGGAGCTAATGACAACAGGGATGATGAATTAGATATAAATTATGTTTTCAAAAAGCTGGCATTTTAGGAGTGTTCAGTTCTCATTTGTAACCATTCATGACCTTTTAAAATTTATTCGCTTTACCTTATGATACTTTAATAGATGTTTGTTTTTTCTCTGGTTTGCTATACTTAATACAGCAAAAATGCTCTTTCCTGTGAGATTTGATGGGAAAGAAAGGCCTATAGAGATGGTCCTAAGGAACTTTGCTATGATAAATTATAACGATCATGTTGTAAGGATAAAGTAATGTGAATATTTGTAGATACACATTATTTATCCTGCTTGTTCTTCAGTCAGCTAATTGATACCTATCAATGGTTGGCAAATTTAGATTTATGCCTGGGTTTGTCACTTCTGCTTTAAAATAACCTAGTGAGATTTGTCTGATGATCATTAGTCACATTGGACATTATTATTAACACATCAAAAAGTTGTCCTTGTGTTCAGTATTGTTCAAAAGATCATTTTTAATTCGATTTATGCCAATGTATTTTTGATTGCTAAGATTTCCTAAGGAGAGCAGTAGTCCTCAGTTACGTATTCTGGCCATCATATTGAAAGGAAGTGTCAGCCCAGGTACAAGCATGTGTTTATTCACTGATTATTGATGGATTTGGTTGTAAAGTACAGTTGGAATAATTTAGATCAGGGAAGCTTTATTGACCAGTAAAACTTGTCACACAAATGCATTCTGCCGTCTGGATTCCAAGTTAAAAGGGAGGTGCATTTATTTTCTCATGCATTGACCAAGGCAGAGAGGGCATAAGTTTATAAGAGCACTTCCATTGCTAATAAGGATGGCACTTAATTTTAATTTCTGTTTTCCTTTCATGGTCTTAAGAAAGAGGAAACTAATTGCTTTTCTTATTATTTTAGTCTGAATGTAGATACTCAAGGGTGGAATGAAGTCTTTTAAAGTTAAAGGAAATACAATCCTAATTCAGATGAAGATTATCTAGGTTAAGAAGGAATCAATTCTGTTTTCAATTTTTGTTGCCTCACATTATTATAAAAATATTCTTACTTATAACTGAATATTCATTTGAATTGATTATTGTGGGAATATGAAATTCCATCTCTTTTCTACTCAATTCTCCTTTAAATTTTTTTATTTTATTATGTTGCTATAGTATGGGTAATTAAAAAAAATTTTTTTTTTAATTTTCAGTTATAAAAATTAGGTTGCCATTTGTTGGCTGGGCACAGTGGCTCATGTCTATAATCCCAGCACTTTGGGAGACTGAGGTGGGTGGATCACCTGAGATCAGGAGTTCGAGACCAGCCTGACCAACATGGAGAAACCCTGTCTCTACTAAAAATACAAAAATAGCCAGGCATGGTGGTACATGCCTGTAATCCCAGCTACTCAGGAGGCTGAGGCAGGAGAATCTCTTAAATCTGGGAGGTAGGGTTGCAGTGAGCCAAGATCGTACCATTGCACTCCAGCCTGGGCAACAAGAGTGAAACAACATCTCAAAAAAAAAAAAAAAAAAAATATATATATATATATACATAAAAATATATAAAAGTAAAAGTTAGTTTACTATTTGCCAAAGTTTGGGTATGTAAGATGAATTTAGGTAATCTTTGAATGAATATTTAAAGTTTGGTAGTTAATTTATCTTTTGAAACATAAGAAAAATTAACATGAATAAAATATTTTTAATGGTTTTATTACTTAAAGTGAGGCTAAATTTTTAGGTAAATTAAGGCCAAGTGCGGTAGCTCACACCTGTAATTCTAGCACTTTGGGAGGCAGAGGCAGGAGGATCACTTGAGCCCAGGAGTTTGAGATCAGCCTTGTCAACATATCTCTACCAAAAATTTTAAAACTAGCTGAGTGTGGTGGCATGCACCTTTAGTCCCAGCCACTCAGGAGGCTGAGGTGGGAGGACTGTGTGAGCCTGGAAGGTCAAATCGGCAATGAGTCATGATCATGCCACTGCACTGCAGCCTGGGTAACAGTGTGAGACCCTGTCTCAAAAAAAAAGTTAATTTAAAGAAAAACAATAAAGGTGTTATGTGGATATGACAAAAATCAAAAGATGATCAAGATTGAAGCTTGCAAAATATTGCATTAGATAACCCTTTATATCTTCTCTTTTCCTCATGGAATTGGAGAAATGGAAGGATTTTCATTTTATAGGAAAGGTAGCTGAGATCTAGACAGGTGACTTGCCCAGAGCTGCTTGTGTAGTCTCTGGCTGTCAGGGCTCTAAGTAGGGCTCCTTGCTCCCAGGCAGATGCTGTTTCTCTCTTTTCCTTTTGTAGGCAGGTCACATTTTCTGGAACTGTCCTAAAGAATCGAAAACTGAATGTTAGCAGTTTCTGGAGCACCTGTACAACTCTGGTTGCTTCTCTTAAATTATAAATTACATCTCTGCGTTTTGCTGTAACTAAGGTTAACTTGTTTTACTTAAGTATGTTTATTTACTAGTTAAAAATGTTTATTGAGTACCCATTGTGTGCCCCTTTAATCTTAATAACTATGAAAATTATTATTTAACTTTTTTCTTTCTCTTAGCTTGTAACATATGCCAGGCCTTCTGCTAAGCACTTTACATGTCTAATTTGCCACTTGGAAAATAGCCAGTGTTACCTGTAGTGTAGAAAGGCAGAGAGATTTGAAGGTTTTGTATTAGTTGTCATAAGTGAGTGCTAAAGCATCAAGAAAGGGCATTGATAAGTTACTGCTGAGGGTTCTATAATCCAGAGAACAGGCAATGCGTTAGTGGAAAAGTAGACATTATAATTCATTATTTGTGGGTAAAAAGAAGTGAAATATGGCCGGTTGGAACACAATGGTGCTTACAACTAATTGATCTCAACCAGTTACAGATTTCTTTGTTCCTTCTCCAGTACTATTGCTTCACTTAACTGGTCATAAAAAAGTGAAGTGAAACATAATTCTAGGGGCAAAAAAGATTTTTATTACCATGATCCATTACTTTATAGAAAATTTGCTTCCAATAACTGCTTTTCAAGTTTTTGTTCTTTTCAGTTTTAATACTTCTTGGTCACCACTGCCATTATAATATAAGCTTCCCAGAACATAACTCTCATTGTTTCCCACCCCCTGCTGATCTGCAGCACTCCCCAGTGCCTACTGAATTAAGAAGGAATGCCTCGCCCAACAGTCAACGAGACGTTGCTGTTTGTTAGGAAAAAAAAAAAAAGTTTAACAGATTTTTGAAATAGCTAGTATTTTATGTCATTTATTTATCAAATATTATTGGGGCACATTTCATGTGCCAGGCATATGTAATACTTAAAAGAATCTTTTGTGAGTTAGGGTAGTATTATTATCCTTACATTACATGTGAGGGAACTGAGGCTTACAGAAGTTAGGTAACTATGAAAGCTCCTATGGTTTATGGTGGAGCTAGATTTCTAGGATGGGTCTGAATGTTTTCTGAGCCATGCTAACTGCTTTGAAATTTTTACAATGTTATATACATTTTTAAAGGATCTGATTTTTTTCCTCTTCTCTCTTGATGCTGTCACTCTTATATTTTGCTATCTGCAATTTTCGCTTTTATATGTAAATGGAGGAAGATGGGTGGGATTGAAAAGATGGGAGTGGACTTGGAGCCAGTTAGCATAGTTCTTATCACAACCACAGTACTTACTACTCAAGTAGATCTCTCTTGGTGCTAGCCCTCACCTCTCCTAGATTCTGGTGTTTGCAGTCATCTAAAGTCTCCTTCTTTCTGACACTCTGTGTATTCCATACTTAACTCTCATAAACCATGTGACTAATTCCGGCTGGGTTTAACTCCCAAATTTAGTCTAATTAGGAGTAGGTATACTCTGGTTATGAAGTTGGTTTCTCTTATCCATTAGCCCAACTAAAAGCAAAAACAATATATGTGTGTTTACTGAGCCTGTAATTTGAATTTAATATCTGCCCAAGCCATGCTGAATGATTACATTTGGTTGAATTTCAGTTAACAAATAGGTGTCTTTCCTCATATAGTTATACATAGGGAGAATATATCTCTCTGGGGCACAGATGAATACTGTGCTTTGGAATAAAGTGCTTTTTGGAAGAAAGTGTAAGCTTATAATATATGCTGATTTACCCGGAGAGTGCTAGTAAGTCATTTGGAAGCACATTTTCACGCACACAGTATCATAAAGGAAGGTGTAACTGTTAGACCAGATGATAAGCCTGTTTAATCCTTAATGAACTTGAAGTATAGTGTTCTTGTAAGTAAAATTTACTTCTGTCACCACACTTCATTCTGCTTCTGTGAAGAAGGCGTTATTTCACTTTCAGGTCATTCACTGAATACGTGAAAAGGAAGGTTGCTCTATTGGTTCTCGTCTTGGACTCAGTTTGCTCTTCCTATCAGTTTTCTTAAATCAGAGAATTAGGGAAAGACCTGACAATAGAAGTTTGTCACTTTAGTTACCTGCTCTTCCTATCTCTTCATGTTTACTTTCTCTGCCACTGTTTTTTTTTTTTTTTTTTTTTTTTGAGGCTAAATCTTGCTCTGTTGCCCAGGCTGGAGTACATGGCACAATATCAGCTCACTACAACCTCTGCCTCCTGGGTTCAAGCAGTTCTCCTGGATTACAGGCGTGAGTCACCACATCCAGCTAATTAGTAGAGGGGTTTCACCATGTTGTCCAGGATGATCTCCGTCTCCTGACAGCCTCGGCCTCCCAAAGTGCTGGGATTACAGGGGTGAGCCACTGTGCCTGGCCCTTTCGCTGCCACTTTATTCATTCCTTGCAGTGTTGAATACCAGCATTTTTTTTTTTTTTTTTTTTTGAGACAGGATCATGCTCTGTTGCCCAGCCTAGAGTGCAGTGGCAGTTATGGCTCACTGCAGCTTCAGCCTCCCATGCTCAAGTGGTCCTCCCACTACAGCCTCCCAAGAAGCTGGGACTGCTGGCATGTACCATCATGCCCAGCTAATTTTTAAATTTTTTTGTAGAGACAGAGTCTCACTATGTTGTCCAGGCTGGTCCTGAACTCCTGGGCCCAAGTGATCCTCCTGCCTTAGCCTCCCAATATGCTGGGATTACAGATATGAGCCACCATCACCTGCCAGAATACCAAAGATTCTATTTTATACCTCTTGGGATTCAGAGTTGATAATTCATGGAAGATCAAGTCCGTGTGTTCTAGTACTGTTTTCCTATTAGAGCCAATTTAAAAAATGAAAGTTATATTCCAGAGGGCTGGGATTATGTAGGAGTCATTGAGAAAATGGCATCTGAGGAAATTGACAGATTTATAATGGATCCACATAGCAGAGATAATGTTGGCAGGAGGACTGATTCCTGTATTCCCTTCTGCCTCTGCTGGGGCTTTTGCCGGTTGATAAGATGAGGCAAGATTAACTTATAAGTTTCATTAGGTAACTCTAGGTCCTGTTGGGATCCTTTTATAATCAAGCTGATCATATATCCTGATTTACTTGGGACCACCTGAAGCTCCTCCATTGTCCCAGTGCAATTAGTGTTCCTTTCATTCTTAAAAAGGTCCTAGTTTGAAGGATAAGTTATATGGTCACATGCTTATAATCATTGAACTGTCTGGTATGCAGGTAAAACCAAAGCCCCAGTCTTTTAGCTCCTCACATTCACCATGGGATGCCTCTAGTAGAAAAGCCTTTAAAGCATCCATTCTCCCTACTCCAGGTCTTTCAGCTGCCACTTTTTTTTTTTTTTTGAGAGGGATTCTTACTCTGTCACCCAGTCTGGAGTGCAGTGGCATGATCTCGGCTCACTGCAGCCTCTACCTCCCAGATTCAAGCAATTCTCCTGCCTCAGCCTCTAGCAGCTGGGATTACAGGCGCCCACCACCATGCCTGGCTAATTTTTGTACTTTTAGTAGAGACGGGGTTTCATCATGTTGGCCACACGGGTCTCGAACTCCTGACCTAAAGTGATCTGCCCACCTGGGCCTCCCAGAGTTCTGGGATTACAGGCATAAGCCACCATGCCCAGCCTTAGCTGCCACTTGTAAGATACCAGATAGAGGCTGAGAAGCAGAGTGGTTAGTTAGTCACTTGTCTTTTCATTAGAAAGCGGGGGGAAAAAGGGCTGAAACCATTATGAACATGCCAGGTCAAGAGGCTAATGTTACTCCATCCTTTCTATATACATCGTTTTATAGTTCTTGCTATCTCGTTTACTTGTACTTTTTTATAGTCTTTTTATGGGTTGTTGCTATTTGCAGAGTTGATTTTGAGAAAACATATTCTGAAGGATGATTCTCTACTGAGTTGAAATTTTTTCTGAGGAGTATTTAAAAGTGGATTTGATATTGATATTAAAACCATGATACATGTGATATTGATATTAAAACCATGTTACATGTAAAATTTGAATGATAAAAAAAATAAGAAATAAGCAGGAAAAAAATTTTATAGGCTTAATTTTGTGGGATAGCTATCCAGCACCAGATATTTGGAGTAAAAGTTGATTCCCTCAAGTGTATAGGTTAGCCCTGAGAAGAATTTTCAGGAATTGTAGTTTTTTCAGGTATATGGCTGTAGAATGTCTTTCTCTGTCTTCTCTCTCTCTCTCTCTCTTTTTTTTTTTTTTTTTGAGACAGAGTCTCATTCTGTTACCTAGGCTGGAGTGCGATGGTGGCTCATTGCAACCTCCGCCTCCCAGGTTCAAGAAATTCTTATGCCTCAGCTTCTCGAGTAGAGTAGCTGAGATTATAGGCATGCACCACCACGCCTGGCTAATTTTTTGTATTTTTAGTGGAGATGGGGTTTCTCCACCCGCCCTGGCTGGTCTCGAACTCCTGAGCTCAGGCAATTCACCCGCCTTGGTCTCCTAGTGTGCTAGGATTACATGCCTGGCCTCTCTGTCTTCTCTTTCTTTCATTCATTTCTTCTTTCTTTCTTTCTTTCATTTCATTTCTCTCCTCCCCTCCCCTTCCTTCTTCTTTCTTACTTTCATTTCTCCCCTCTCTTCCCCTTCCCTCTCCTTCCCTCCCCTCCCCTTCTTTCCCCTCCTCTTCTTTTCTCCCCTCCTCTCCACTCCTCTCCTCTCCTCTCTTCTCCTCTCTTCCCTCCCTCTTTCACTTTCTTTCTTTCCCTTCCTTTTCTTCTTTCTTTCTTTCTTCCTTCCTTCTTTCCTTTCCTTCCTTTCTCTCCCTCCCTTCCTCCCTTCCTTCTTTCCTTCCTTTTCTCCTTTCCCTTCCCTTTTCCTCTATCCCTTCTTTCCTTCTCTCTCTTTTTCCTTTCCTTCCCTTTCTCTTTCCTGTCCCCTTCCCCTTCCCTTCCCTCCTCTTTTTCTTCCCCTCTCCATCCTTCCCCTCCCTCTTTTCTGTCTTTTTTTTTTTTTTTTGAGACAGAGTCTTATTTACTTTGTCAATGATGCTGACAGGCTGGAGTGCGGTGGCATGATCTCAGCTCACTGAAACCTCCACCTCCCAGGTTCAAGCCATTCTCCTGCCTCAGCCTCTTGAGTAGCTGGGATTACAGGTGTGTACCACCACACCCAGCTAATTTTTTCCTATTTTTAGTAGAGATGGGGTTTCACCATATTAATCAGGCTGGTCTCGGACTCCTGGCCTCAAGTGATCCACCTGCCTCAGCCTCCCAAAGTACTGGATTACAGGCATGAGCCACTGTCCCCAACCTCCTTTTCTCTTTTTTTCTTTTATTTCTTTTGGGACAGAGTCTTGCTCTGTTGCCCAGGCTAAAGTGCAGTGGCATGGTCATAGCTAACTGCAGCTTCGACCTCCTGGGCTCAAGTGATCCTTCTTCCTCAGCCTCCCAAGTAGCTAGGACTATAGGTGTGCGTCACCATGTCCAGCTAATTTTTAAATTTTTGTAGAGACAAGATCTCTCTGTTGCCCAGGCTGGTCTTGCACTCCCATCCACAAGTGATCTTCACATCCTGCCTCCTAAAGTGTTGGGAGTAGAAGTGTGAACACTGTACCTGGCCAGAATGTCTTTCTTTTTTCTTTTTTCTCTCTCTCTTTCTGTTTCTTTCTTTTTTTGAGACAGGGTTGTGCTCTATTGCCCAGGCTGGAGTGCAGTGGTATGATCACAGCTCACCACAGCCTCTACCTCCTTGGCTCAAGTGATTCTCCCACCTCAACCTCTGGAGTAGCTGGGACTACAAGTATGTGCCACCACACCTGACTAATTTCTTAAATTTATTATTTCTAAAGACGGGTCTCA